GGCCACTTCTCGCCTCCCAGCCGCTGCTCTCCCGCTGCCAAGCTCAAAAGGGCTCCGGAGGGTGGTCTGTTCCTCTCCCTCCCCAGGGAGGAGGCAGGAGGGGAGATAAGAGAGAGGCATTTAGCAGCTCCGGGGCTCCGGCCACGCTCGGTAAAGCAGATGTGAACAACGCAGATGTGAACGGCTTGGCAGCCCCGGCTCTGGCCAGCTCACAGGCTTGTTCCCAGGGGTTTCAGGACTAAAGAGTGGGAGAACTAGAGGTTTGGGTGGGAGTGGAGCACTCAGCGTGGGGAGAGGGATTGTGTGGGGGGGGGTGTGAGGCCGGTCGAGCTGTAACCCGTGTGTTTGGCTTCCATCCCCCAGAAGGGTCCCTCAGCACATCGGGACAGGTTATTGCCTCAGGACAGGTAATAACCCCCCTTGGTGCTTTTGAGAGCTCACTGGGGGGGTTATTTCACGTAGATGTTCCCCAGGCTTGTGCTTCTCCACATCAAGCCAACTAGGATTAATAATAGTAGCTATCGGACTAAACCTCCCACAACTAGCCTTTCTCCACATCTCAACCCATGCCTTCTTCAAAGCCATACTATTCCTGTGCTCCGGATCAATCATCCACAGCCTCAACGGAGAACAAACATCCGAAAAATAGGAGGCCTCCAAAAGATCCTCCCAACAACTACCTCTTGCCTAACCATCGGAAGCCTCGCCCTGATAGGCACCCCATTCCTAGCCGGATTCTACTCAAAAGACCTCATCATTGAACACCTAAACACCTCTTACCTAAACTCCTGGGCCCTACTACTAACACTATTAGCCACAGCCACACCACTCTTCCAGGTGTGAGAATTCCTGGTGTTGGCCGTGGCCTGGGCTGGCAGAGGCGTGGGTGCTGGTGGTGCTGCAGCAGGGCTGTGGTTGCCTCTCGCCCTCTTCCATGGCATCCCTCACCCGTCCAGCGTGGGATGCCCCCGGAGACCCCGCTCCCACACACCGGGAAGGCGGGTCCTTCCCCACCACCGGTAACCGAGCTCCTTCCTCTCTCCATCTCCAGCAACAGCAGTGCCGAATCCTTGGACCGGCTGTACCCCGCGGTGGGCTCCACCAAGCCACCCCGAAAGCGGACCACTAGCCAGTGCAAGTCTGAGCCACCCCTGCTGCGGACCAGCAAGAGGACCATCTACACAGCTGGCCGGCCACCGTGGTACAATGAGCACGGGACACAGTCCAAAGAGGCCTTCGTGATAGGTAGGTGAAGGCGACACGTGCCCGGGCTCTGTCCCCCCTCTGCGCTTCAGCCGGGGCAGGCTAGCACGGGCAGCGTTGGCCCTGCCTGCCCAGTGGCTCTCCAGGAGATCTTGGTCGGATTCCTGCCCCACAACTTCCTTGGAAACTTGAGGTTGGCTCCAGGCTCCAGGCTGTGAGCTGCTCAGCCCGAGCAGGAGCCGTGAGAGTCCCCATGGTTCAGTCCAGCGTTGACTGGGTGAGCCGTAGGATTGGGCAGGGGCTGAGAGCTGGCAGATGGGGGTGATGGATTATAGCAGGCACTGGGCTGACCACAGTCTTTGCTTGTTGTTCCCTCAACTGTTGTTGCCTGGGTTGTCACGAGTTCCCAGGGATTTAGTCTAGGCTGGTTCTGATGCCAGCTCTCCCCTGGTTACACAACCACCTAACGAAGGGTTTCCCAGCTCTTGCTGTTGCTGGCAGTTGTAGTACGTACCACTTGACATTTCCAAGGATAATCCTCTCCTGTAGTGCCTATCAACCTCCCTCTTCGGAGGTTCCTCCAGCTTAGTGCCACAGAGCAGGACCTGGGCTCTAGCCGGCGGTTGGAAAGGCAGACTGCGGGGCTGGTGGCTTCATCCCCTTTTCCCTGGCAGGCCTGGGAGGAGGCAGCGCCTCTGGGAAGACCACGGTGGCCACCATGATCATTGAGGCTCTTGATGTCCCTTGGGTGGTTCTGCTGTCCATGGACTCCTTCTACAAGGTGAGGCTGCGCATCATCCTGGCCAGGCTCCTTGGGCCGCCGTGGATGGCCCTTGGCGTAACGCCCTGATGGGGAAACGCGGTGTGGATTTAGTGGCAGCCTCGTGGTTTCCCCTTCAGATGGTTCCTGGGGCAGGGGGCGAGGTTGGTGGGCACGGCGGTGGGGAGGGAAGGCCGCTGGTGGGGACTGCAGCCTCTTCTCTGCGGGCAGGTGTTGACCAAGCAGCAGCAGGAGCAGGCAGCCAGCAACGACTTCAACTTTGACCACCCCGATGCCTTTGACTTTGACCTCATCATCGCCACCCTGAAGAAGCTGAAGCAAGGCAAGAGCGTGAAGATCCCCATCTACGACTTCACCACCCACAGCCGGAAGAAGGAATGGGTATGAGACACTGAGGAGGAAGGTGGGACAAGGTGGGGGAGGCTGCTAAGACAGGAGAAAGGGGTGCCCATTGGACCCCCCGCCCGGCTTCTGCCTTTTGTGGTCAGACTCTGCTCTGCGGCTGGTGCAGGGCGTGTTTTTCGGCCGAGCTGTCGCAGCCACCGACAGCCCAGAGTGGATTCCCCGGAATGAGGCCTCCGTGTGTCTAACCACAGCCATTTTGCCTCCACAGAAAACCCTCTATGGCGCCAACGTGATTATCTTTGAAGGCATCATGGCGTTCGCCGACAAGGAGCTCCTGAAGGTGAGGAAGGGTTTAGGATCGGTTCTGGGGAAGCCCGACAGGCGCAAGGGCTGCAGCTCCCTTTTCTGCAGCCTCCTGTCACAGCACAAAGAGAGTCCCAGGTGCCCCGGGGCCGCTGCGCACCGCTGGATGGGACCCCGTCCTCCTGCAGGGCTTCAGCATCACCCCTACAAACCAGCCCTCCAGCCCACAGCCAGCTGGGGGGAGATGGTGGGAGCCTGCTTTCTCCTGTTTTTTTGATGACCTTCTCTTCCAGGTTACCCCCGCTGCTGCGGCACCTCACTGCGCAGGAGAAATAAGCCTCGACTCTGGCAGGGGAAGAGCCCCCGGCAGAGGTCAGGCGTTTCAGGAGAGGTCTTGATCTCCCAGGAACTGGGAGCCGAGTGGTGAGGCGGTCCCTGGCAGTGGTGGTGCATAAATACCACTAGGGATAGCCCACCTCCGCGCGGCGTGCGGCAGCTTGCACGGTCTGCTGTACTTGTACGGCGCAATGCTTGGTGTTCCGAGGGTGGACTCATCCAGCACTTCAGGCTTTCTCGGGAATTATTTGGATACATGGAAAATGCTGTAGGAGGGAGCGAGCCGTGCACAAACTTAGCCAAGCTCAGGCTAGAAACTTTCCTTCCCTGCCAAGAGAGCTGGGTTGGACTTTTCCTGGAGCAAGGATGACCTCCAGTGGACAGCTGGGTAAGTCCCCCAGGAGTTTCCTCTGAGCATCCCGGCTCTTGTCTCTCCAGTTCAGGGCAGTGTCATGAGCTGACCTGCTGTGCTTGGCGCCCTTCCAGCACGAACAAGCCAACGCTCCTGGCTTAAGCCTGTTGGTCCCTGTCGTGGGCATTAACTTCTCCTCCTCGCTCTTGAATAACATCCAGCCAAAGCGTCGGAGCTGCTTCGAGTGGAAATAGGGTTTGGAGCAGGACAGGTCTCAGGGAGTGTGAGAGTAAGGGGCAGGTGGGAGCAAGGGACTCGCTGGAGCATCTGCACGGCCAGCCGGGTTCGAGGTCAGGGGCTGCAGAAGCAAAGCTGCCTCCAGGGCGGAGCAGAGCTGAGCCGAGCGCTGTTAAACTGGCGGTGCGCTGCGCAGAGGGCTCAGCCTTCTGCTTGTGGCTGGTGGAGAAGGTCGATTCGAGGGACCCACCTCACCCGGTGGGGTTTGTTCCTTCCCCTCTCATTTCAGCTCCTTGACCTGAAGATATTTGTGGACACGGACTCGGACATCCGCTTGGTGCGTCGCCTGCGCAGGGACATCAGCGAGCGTGGCCGTGACATCGAGGGTGTCATCAAGCAGTACAACAAGTTTGTCAAGCCCGCCTTCGACCAGTACATCCAGCCCACCATGCGGCTGGCCGACATCGTCGTCCCCCGAGGTACCTGCTCAGGGCTGCTGCGTGGCTCAGTCCTGAGCGGGACCTGAGAGACCCCCCGTCCCTCTGCCCTCGGCTCTGCTGGCCAGTCCCACCGCTGGGGAGGACGGAAGAGTGGCCCTCCTATGCCAAAGCGAAGGTCCCTCCCGTTGAGTGTCTCCAAACGCTGCCCGAAAGCAGGTTCCTAGGGGAAAGGCTGAGCTTTTCCCTCAACCAGTCTCCTGCCCTACCAGCTCCTGCAGCTTAGAGATTTCAAAGCTAGAGGTGGATATTCAATAATGGATTAGTAAATAAGAATTTACTGACAGCAGAAATGTCTCCTGCTGGGTGATGCTTTGCTAGGGGAGGGATGTTTGAGGTATGGTGGTTTTTTTAACATCGTGGGGAGCTTGGGGAAGAAACATTTTTCAGGCGCTGCCAGCACTCTGGTCCTGACCAGGCTGTCTCTCTTCTGCTTTTGGTTCACTCCAGGGAGTGGAAACACGGTGGCCATCGACCTGATCGTTCAGCACGTCCACAGCCAGCTGGAAGAGGTGAGAGCTGCCTGGTCCCCTGGGTGTTAACAGCAAGGTCAACCTTGCCTGCGCAGTGGTGGCATTGCAGGGAGCTGTGCTCTGGGTGCCGAGGTGGACGTGGCCTGGCTCCCCTCCGTGCTCCAGGCGGGTCGGGGCTGTCCCCATGAATTCCTCCCAGCCCTGCTCCCTCCATTTCAGCGAAGGAGACCGCCTCGTCCCTGCGCTCTCGTTAGTGCAAGGCTCCTCTGCGAGCTGTGGTCCAGCAGCAGCTTCCTTCCCTCCCTGGGAGAGCCAGCCCTCTGGGGACAAACCACTTGTCCTCGAGTGGTCTGAGGGATGTGTCCTCCCTGCCTGCAGCCCTCCCGGGGCCAGCATCGCCCCAGACCCCACAATACTTTGTCATTCTGGCTCTGGCTTCTCTTTCCCCTCCCCTTGCAGACACCGCTGCGCAGTCTTTCCAGTCAAGAGCCCACTTGTCCACCTCTACGTTGGGCGCAGCCCACGGGTTTCCAAACCCAAAGTCTTGTCGTGTCTGACACCCAGCCTGAGCCCCGATCCAGACACATGCTCCGTCCCTGCCTTTAGCAAGTCTTTTGTGTGTCCTGGGCCAGCCCTGGCCAGTGGTTTGAGCCTGGGACCCTTCGGTCAGATGACGCTGTTGTGTGTTGCTGTTCCCCGAGCGGCACAGCCACGTTCGTGGCGTTGATGTTTAAGCTGTGGAGATGCTCAGAGCGATGTCCCGGGAGGTGGAAGGAGCGTGACCTGGAGATGGCTGCGCCTGAAAGGAAAGGGCTCGCTTCCCCCAGGCCTTTCTGAGCTCCCAGAGGGCAGGAGCCGCTCGGCCCCTGGAGGCGAGCCGGCAGGCGACAGCACCGTGCCTCCCGCGCCCGCTCGGGAGGGACCGCCCCGATGCAAAGGCATCTGGGCAGGTTCCCCGCTCCCGGGGCACCCCGCTCTCCGCAGGGCTGCAGGCGGAGCTTTCTGGCTGCCCGGCTTTTACAACGCTGAGCTCTGGCACGTCGGGAAGTTGGTTTCTAAACCCTCGGTCACAGGAGCAAGGATCAGAGCCCGGCATCATCGCTAGCGCCGGGCTGAGGAGGGCTCGCAGCCGCGGGGCGCAGGCCAGGAGGAGGGAAAGGGCTGTTCCTCGCAGCCCCTGGGATCTGGCCAGGAAAGCTCGTGGCTGGATGCTGCAAGCCAGGCGAGGGGTTGGCTTTTGCCGTGGGGAGGGGAGGCTTTCATTTACCTGGGGAGGGGAAGAAGGGGAAAAGGCTACATGTGAATGCAGGAAAATATTCCTATTTTTCCTTTTCTTTTATCTTGAAACGACCCTGGTGTTGACAATGCTTAATACCGGTTGCATTGTGTCTTTGTGTTGCTGCCGCAGCGTGAACTCAGTGTCAGGTAAGAGCCCCTCACTCTGTCCTGTCTGTGCAGCCCGAGGCATTTCCAATGCCAGGCACTGCTTGGCCTAACCCTGCCCTGCGGTCGGGACCGACAGCTCGCACAGCGCACGGCCTCGTGCCCTTGGCCGCCTTGTCCTTGGCTTTGGGACCACGAGGGACAGGGCTGCCCCCCCAGGGATGTATTCATCCCACGAGGGTACCACCAGCTCGACCGCAGACCCCTGAAGCTGAAGCAGGGCCAGGTTTGTTAGCTGGGGACCTCCGGTCTCTGCAAGAGGGGAGGCTTTGGGGTTCTCTTTGATTTCCCTTCTTCATCCTCTAAGATGAACGGTTGTTCAGAGCCGCTCTCCAACCCTGATGATTAAATATCATTAAACATCAATTATTAGATTAACCAAAGCGACTCGAGGGTGGCAGGAGCCCCGGCTCCCTCGCCACGTGCAGAGGCTCTCGGCCACAAGCCTGATGGCGCTGGGAAGGAGCGTAGCAGCTCCGGCGTGGCGAGAGGCACCCGCCTTCCCGCAGTACCTAAAGACCAACAGCAGCTCCCTGGGACTAAGGAAATCCTCGTGCCCTAATCCAGCAGGATTTCTGATTTCTCAGTGGCTGCAGGTGGGTGCTGTCAAGTGTCCATTGGTTTGCTTAACCTCTCAGCGTGTGGATCCAGGTGGGGCTTTCGCTCTCTTGGTTCCACCAGGCACCAGCCGAGGTTCCAGGTACCTTTGCAGGAAGCAGAGGGCGTGAGTTCCTGCAGGTGGGTTTCCATTTAGATCTCCATCGTTGCATGGAGACACTTAGCTCAGGTGGCCCTAAAATTTACATTTGGCGTACGACAAGCTTTTAAAATACTTCAGATGAACAGGAAAAAGACTTGGCTTTAGTTATTTCTGCTTAAGCCATTCGTTTCGTAGACTTTTATTTTCTTCCTGTTTGTGCTTGTTTAACACCATGGGGCCTGACATTTCCATACAGACAGTGTAAGCTTCCCTGTGCATCTGGAGGTCCAGGTGGGAAGGTGCTCTTTAGCGTGGAGAGACGTCTGTTGCTTTAAAACATTGCAGGAATAACATTCGAGAGTAGATTAGTGCGTGTGTCGTTGTGTCTGTATGGTGGCCGTGTGTGTGTGTGTATATATATACACACACATGTATAAAATTCCCTTTCTTCCCAGTGATTCTGCTCTTTAATCAAAGTGGCACTCAGTGCAGGTGATCTTTTTGTGCACATTAGAAATCAAGTATTTAATCGTACGTCAAGACAGTATGAGTAGTTTTATGATAGCAAGTTTGGAAAGGTACCTCTGACCCCCAGAAATAACTCCGTGATAAGCACAGCCACAGACACGTTTATGTTCTGTTTAAGGCTCGTGGTTTCTGTTTATGCCTTTGCCAGAAAGTCTGGAATAAATTTCCTGCAAACAAAAAAAACCCCGAACGGTTTCCACTCCAGGGGTCCCGGTGCTTTTCCTGCAGCTGCAGTTTCCCCTCCGCTCCGCTGCGGCTCTGCCGGAGGAGCGAGGTGGATGGAGAGCCGTGCGTCCAGCGAGGTGCGCTTGGCAAAACCAGGGCTTTTCACCTAAAACCACTCCCTGTCCTCTTGTCTTGAACGGCTTCATCGCAATGTCACGGTCGGTGTCTTGATGCCACCGCCTTTTGGCAGCCGTGGGGGCGCAGCGGGGCCTTAGTGGCTGGTAGAATAAAACCTGGATCCTTAGCTCTGGCCCCAGACCAAGGTCCTTCGCTGCTCCCCGTGCTCCAGCCTGGCCCTGGGCTGCCTCTCCTGACCCGGAGGGTGACGGGGGCGGGCAGGGGGTGCCTCTTCCCAACTCTCAGCTGATCAAATGGCTGAATTCTGAGAAGTTTAAAGAAAGCGGTGCCATTCCCTGGACCTGCAAGCTCTGTTCTCCTCCCGTGGCTGCTGAGGAGCATCGGTGCTTTCCTCTATTCCCTCGGAGCGCAGGTCAGACCTCAGCGTCCTCGCAGTTGGGCTATTTCTTGGGCAGCTTCCCACATGTTTAACCATACGTGTGCCGGAGGCGTAATGACGTACAGGCGCTCCCAGGTGAGTATTTCTCCTGGAGCCCAGCAGCAGGAGCCGAACCGGCGATGCCATGCCTGCCGAGGCACGGTGCCCTCAGCCGAGCCCGTTCTCCGTCCCTTCCGCCGCGCCATTTCGGCCACCAGCCCGGCTCTCGGAGCCAGTGCTCTTTTCAGCCCAATTCCCCTCGCCAATCAATATTCCCCACCCCCCCCCCCCCCGAGGTCTCGATCAGCTTGGCATGCCCTTTGCCAATTGTGTCTTTAAATATCAACCCGTGGCGCAGTTTAATAGCCCTTGTTTGAAATGTCAGCCGTGAAAGCCAGCCGCTGTACGTGTTTGAAATGCCTTGACTGCATTAGCTCCTTTGTAGCTGGATGTCTCTTGTCTGCTTCCTGCTTGATAGCATGCTCAACAAAGAGCCGAGGATGTTCCCTGAAGCCTTCCTGAGAGATGGTCACCCCTTTCTCTCTCTTTCTTTCTTTTCTTTCTTCTTTTTTTTTTTCTTTTTAATTTTTTTTTTCCTTTAAAGCTTTTGTTCTGAGGGGAAAAAAATAAGTTTCCAAAAAGTGAGATGTTTTCTTGACGTGCTCATGGCTGCCCACCTGAATTTTCCGTCGCGGTCCTGCCTGGCAGGGGGAGGGACAGGAAGCATTGCTCTCGCAGGCAGGCTGTGGTGGCAGAGACCCGCTCCCTCCGTCCCTCCCGGCAGGGCTGGGCGAGGGGTTTCCCCGCAGGTGACGCGGCCGGAGCGGGGCAGCTGCCGGAGAGGCTGAGCGCTTCTCTCTGCCTCCAGCCCCTCTCCCAGGGATGGTGAACCCAGGGCAGGTCGGGGTGAATTCAAGAGAAGGCAGGTCTTCCCGGCGGGCGGGGATGTTCAGTTCAGAGCAGGTTTCTCCCCACGTTCTCTCGGCTTTCCAGGCTCTCCGAGGCTCGAGCAGATCATCTCTCCAGCGTGCCAGGAGGCGGGCGGCCCTGTCAGCCCACAAGGAGTTTGCTTGGGCGCGGGGCAGGTTGGATGGAGGTTTTGCGAGCTCGGCCTTGAGCGCCTGCGTTTGCGGCGGGCTTGCAGCAGAGCCCTGGGCGAGGGCTGGGCATTTCCCTCGGGGCTCCGAGAGCTGCAGCTGGTGTTGTGGTGGGACGGAGATGGGACCCTGTCCCTGCCGTGACTCCGGGGCGGTGAGAGCAGCCGTGACATGACTTGGTCACCACGGGAGGAGCGCTGGGGTCTGTACGGCGATGGCAGGTCCAAGAGCCATAGATCAATTAGGGCTTTTTTTCCCCCCCTTTGACTAATGACAGTCCTTTTTCCTTTGTTTCATGTTACGTTTGTCCCTCTCCTCTTAAACTCTCGTGTTTCCTGTCTTGTCTCCCCTGAACATCCCTCCCACCTGGTGACCAGAGGAAGCTGCGCTGGGATATGTGAGGAGACAAACGCTAACGGCAGTGTTTTGGTTGTGACACTAATGCCGGGGAATGGGGGGGGCGAGGGCTGTGCAGCGCAAGCCGCCTTACTAACCCAGGCTGGGGGTCTCCGGGCAGGCGCTTCACAGGGTCCTGCTGCTTTGCTGGGGCTGTGTGGACCAAACTGGGGTGGAGGGACTTGAGAAAGCATCTTTATCCTAACCCCAAAAGTGGGACTTGCAGCTATTCCCCCAGAAAACACCGTG